TATATATATATATATATATATATATATATAATATATATATATATATATATATATATATATATAAATGTGTATTTTATTATTATAACAGATTTTTATCTTATACACAAATATATCATATTAAGAGAAATTTGTTCTATTGTAGAAATTCTGCATACACTTGTATGACAGAACTTTACAATTAAAAATATCAGTCATAACTTAACCTAACCTCGTTACCTACGCCTGCTAATCGGCAGAATACTTTTAAGAAAAATGCAATAGACAATTAATATTTTCCAACTGCATACGTTCTTAATTTATTTTCTGTTGATTATTCAAACGAGCGGACCGATGTGATTTAATAGCCTGAATCGAATGTGCCAGATTACAAAGTACTAGCAGCTTGATTTCGCTATTAAAATTATTTGCTGTTAAAATTATTCCGGTCAGTATACAAACTGTGTGTTAACTAAATTTAAACAAAAATACGCACTTCAGTCTATTTTAACCTGATCTGACCTCGTACTCGATAGCTACATGCAAAATATCTCCCGATTCTCATTTCGAAATTGAGAAGCTTCTCCATCTCGCTATAATTAATTAGGAAAATTATTTTCTGTTAAAGATCCGGTGGAGTTTGCGGCCGCACTGCGAAGCCAGCTGCAGTTCCGGTGGATGCGGCGAGATGCAGCACCGGAGGATCCGGTTCGGGCCGAGCGGGGTCGGCCCGAAGATGAGTTTACTGATTCTCGTTATTCCTTCATTAAAAGCTTTGCGGCCGGCAATTGCGATATGGTTGGCGGAAGAACAATCGTTAAATTATTCTAAACCTAATCGACAATGTTATGTCTTTTTGTTGTAGAATCGAGAGCGGAGTGTGGCCGATCCTGACTTCAAAGCGGTTCTGTGAGTTAAAGAAATGAGTTTAAAAACTACACGGAGAGAATATTGTAGTTTCCTTTTCATATCCTTTTCAATATCTTATTGTTTCTAATAGTACAAGAATAGATTGCCAGTAGGATCTGTTTTGTTAAGAAATATGATGGATCTTGCTAGAAACGTAGCCAATTTTTAAATATCACCTTACAGTTTTTGAAATATAAATATGCTTCTTAAAATATAAATAAGCTTCTTAAATATAAATAAGTTCCTAAAAACTAATATAATAAGAATATAAAAATGGCATATATAAAATGAAAGGATCATTTACTGCAGAATCCATCCATAATAATGTTTGTCGATCCATAATAATGTTTATTATAAAATTCTCTCCGTATGAAATGATACTTGAGGTGGCAGTTTATTAGACTCATTAATATCGATGCGATTTACATGTACTTTTGCACAATAGGTTTCTGCATATGCACATTGAAAAAAAGACTGATTGATCTCATTGAAATTAGTTATTATATTACAATATATATTTGTTGTTCTAGCTAATATGTAGGCAATAATATGCATATAATATTATTATCTCTAACGTTATAATAGCATTGTCTATTGAAATTGCTACCCGGACCGTAATTAATTCATTATGCACAAATATAGAAGGTCACAAATACGAGATACTCTTTTCTTAGT